TCGTGGTACGTGATTAGACTTTTTCATATATATATACTTTATGTATAAACTCTATGCCTTCTTAGAAGATGACGCTCAACATACGAGACTGGAGGATATATGGTGTACAGAATATTGCATTAATGATATCAGTTTCTTTTGTCTATTTATCCTAAAATATGATGTTCCTATATACATTATCAATTTCATCCTCGGTTACACCTTATAATAATTATGATAATGATCTTGTCTTCTGAGTCAATGCAGATATTGATAGAAAATATCAAAGATCAATCGGTTTAATGTAAGCGAGCGTTGTTGTCCATGATTTGAGACACACGCCTCGTACTTGAATGGTTTATGTTTCGATATGTTGCTATATCGTAAATAATTCAATTAATAGAGACAGTCCTGAGTATTAATAACTGGAAACAATTATGAAAAAGGTTCTTAACAGAAAAATTTCTTAAATACATATTATTTTTCCAAGCATAGACAGAAAGTACTAAGTATAACTGTTTACGCCAACCTACGTTGAGGACTGTAGCTATTGCTTTATGAAGAAATAGTATGTATATTACTCATCACCAGCAGTTTGTTTTATTACGTTTTAAAATTAGAGATACGAAACTTTATATTTTCCTGACTTTTCACATGCTATTCGTTGCTGCTATTGCTTATTTTGTTCAAAAACGAAACAGGCAGTTGTGAAAGAGATGGACTTAACTCGTTCTTTACTTCATTCTAAAATATAATCAGTAGACATTACGTGGAGTAATCAGGATAATTGCAAAGTGCGTTATTCTTTACTTGATAGTAATCTAAAAGGATAGCATTCAACTATGTTATTCCAGTTATTTCCACCCAAAGTTAGCTCCAGTGATTGATCATGAATAGAATATGACACGTTTTTGTGCTACGCATCTCTCCCAATTATAATCGTAATGTCTACATCTTAGCCAACAAAGACGGATAGAATCTTACGATCCTTTATGTTTTTTAGACAAGGACATGGTTAAATTGTACAAAAATTTATTTCATTGAAGTGATCTACAAACAAGACTGTTTGTTTGCACTCTTAATCGTGATTTGTTGAAGTGAAAGACCCCCTCCCCCAAAGAAAGGGTTCATGTTCTTCGCCAGAAAGTCGTGCAAGATATGCATTATATATTCATTTCTATAGATGCAAAGGCCCACTGACAAAAATGAAATAATAATAGTGACGTATGTCAATATACTATATGGTTTATTTACATCTATATAATTGCATGAATGTAAATTGTCACTATTTTTAAACGACGTACTGAACTCGTACGTAAAATTATGCAAACTTATGATCACAACTAAATTTTAATCGACTAAGCTGATCGCTAATGACCCAGTCTCATTAACGTTTGCATATATTTGTATGATGCCAGCTGCAAATATTTCTTCAGGAACGTTACATATATTTTGCCAATGAAATGATCAGGCAGAAATGGTGCTCTCCGGAAATGGGCTTTTAGTAAGAGGAACCATTCGCATAAAATACTAATTTTAGAAAATATACTGAATGAACGAACTCAAAAATTATGCTGATGTGTTACTTCAAGTACAATAGGACTATATGGCATTGATTATGTTGTTATATAACTGTTTCACATTAATGATGTTAGTATTTATCCTAATTCTCTGCCCTGGAAACAGTATTTTGCACCTTTTGTGTGTATGCAGAGTTGGACAAACAAATATATATATATATATATATATATATATATATATATATATATATATATATATATATATATATATATATATATATATATATAATTTAACTGGATTGAAACCAAACGGACTTTAGACTGAATAAAAATACGGAGCCCAATGTATGCGAATAAATGAGATTTTATAAAATGGAAATAAAAATATGTGGCCTCAAGTAAACACAAAAGCCCAAATAACGATCTATCTATCCTGCACACAAAGGCAATTCATTAGACACAACATTTATAGCCATGTGAGAAACTAACCACTGATACGAAACTGCCACATTGAACAGGACCAAAAACAAAAAGATAGGATCGTGTACGATATAATAATTATAAATGTGGTTCATACAATATCACGTTTTAAAATGAGTATGGTTCCTAGAACCGAATGAGTTCAAAAATGAATATATTCTATACCAGCAGTGGATTTAAGGAAAAGTATAGTCCATACAACCAGTGGATTTAAGAATAAGTATGGTCCATACAACCATTGGATTTAATGATAAGCATGGTCCATACAACCATTGGATTTAAGAATAAGTATGCTGCATACAACCATTGGATTTAATAAGTATGGTCCATACAACCATTGGGTTAAAGAATAAGTATGGTCCATACAACCATTGGATTAAAGAATAAGTATGGTCCATACAACCATTGAATTTAATGATAAGTATGGTCCAGACAACCATTGGATTTAATAAGTATGGTACACGTACAGCTCTGCCACCATAATGCTGGTTAATCTAATTCACCTAATCTAATCTAATCTAATCTAATAGCTACACTGCTTCACTGCAGGTCATGCTACTACATGTATGGTGCTACTACGCTGTCAGTCATATCAGTTATGCTGCCATCCCTTCCAGCCTTTTCTAACCTTTTCAGCCTTATTCAAGCCCCTCCAGCCCTATCACCTTTTCTTGCCCGTCCTGCTGGTTCAGCTCTCTTAACTCGTGTACTATGGACACTCCTTGACAATACACAAATGGGCACTGTGTCTGTATATCAAAATATGCCTCATAAATGCTAATAAAAATACTTGCGAGAACCAGTGGTAAAGTACACGTGCACGTCGTGATAAATAAGCATCTCGCTGCGATCCTAGATAACCTAGGTAAGAATGTAGGCATCTACGAAATCAATTGCACAAAACTGTTTTAACACATTACCAAGTTATTCTCTTGCATTATTATGTGATAGATAATGCCATCAAGATAATAAAACACATACAAAGAACAATTTCGATCTTAAAGTTGGAATTTGACGCCTACTAATTAATTACGTTATTCTATCAGTTGGAATGTACATAGTACCACCACATACTCTATAACCATACAACCTTTCTCCTCACTAAGCGAGACAGCATTGGTCGTCGCATGACTGAACTATTCTTCATTTGATAACACCGCAAAAGCATTCAGCATGATAAATTTTGATATGCATTACTTCTTTTTTACTGCATAAGTTTTCAATTCATATTTGATATTACTTGAGAATTATCTTACATATGCGATATTTTGCATTCAGATTCTGTTATCGATTCATTTACAATACATTCCAATCGCATGCGACATTTTTACATTCCTGTACAATATTTGCCATTTACGATTGTATATGGAATATTTATCATTTGTATTCGATACTTATTTTTTTAATCAAATATAGTTTAATTCGTTCATATACAATCATTTCCATTCAAAGTTTATATTTTGCATAATGGGTAATCGGAGGTCATGTTTTTATTTAATTAAAAGCTATGTATCGTAATACTATAATCATCCTGTTAAATGACACGCTTGATTTTATTTGATCTGCGTTATTATATATGCGTTGTTACATCAGTATTCATCCCGTACTTTGTCAAGATTTGTAATAATGTAGTGTGGATCTCTAATAAATTTGATAGAAGTTATTTTGTTGGATGGAATTGGTCACCTTTTACCACATTGTATTGAATATGTATATTTATTTATCTTCATGTCACCTGTCCTGTAAAGCATGCGTCCTTGATAACTTAAAAGAAAATGACCATTTCCAGAAATTTCTGAAGACACATTTAAGTGTCTGCTTGCATCCATAAAGCAAAGTAATTTACGTTGCTGTATCGGTTTTATCTATGTAGTTTTTGAACATAATGCTTTATTGCGATTCTCATTACTTTATTACCTCCAGCTAGAATTTGTTAAGTGGGATATTTGTTATATATATATATATATATATATATATATATATATATATATATATATATATATATATATATATATATATATGTATATATATATTTCCATAGTGTAATATTTCACGGCTAAGGTTTGTCCTTCCCGTTAACCGATTCAGATAATTTTTTCATACTAACCATTCTTGAGATTGATATATATATAATATGACGATTCATGATTTGAAAGTATATTTTCAAGTCTATATGAAATCACAAACTGGCATATCCCGCATTACTCGCTGCTTAAACTGTTGCAATTAGATACAACATTGATCACGATCTAACAATGAAAAATGATATCCGTCCAAACTGAGCATTTTGTCTGTTTTACCAAAATTGATATAGCCGTGTTTTATTGTCTTAAACAGTGTTGTAATAATAAGGCGATATACCCGTGTTATATTTCTTTTAACAATACCCTTTACCAATAAGTAGATATACTCGAGTTATATAAAAAGGATCCGTGTACCTAAGTGAACAAGGAAAACGAACTTCAATGTAATACCTGAACTAAAAATCTGGACACCCTCATCTCTTTCTCGAGATAGTCAAGTAGCTTCAGCACTGAAAGAGATTCGGAGGTAATCCGACTGATGCTTCCTGAATTTGTAAGTTTTTAGCAGACCAACATCCGGCTTGATGGGCGAAGAAAAGATTCTTCCCAAATGATACCTATTGAAAGAAACGCTGGAGATCGTTTTAACAATCCATGAAATAAACACGCTTTTAATTTGCTTGTTACTCCTGCTGCTTTGTAGCGAAATATTAAAGAAATCAGTCGGTTTCAACAGCCTTAAACGACTGCCCACGTTTCTGTTAGTGATGACAAGTTGTCTAGTCGTTGTCACATCAATAGAATTATAATGACGCAGTTACAAACAGGGGCTTGGTGGTAGTTCAAATTGGCTATTATGTACATCCTATGGTTTCTATCATACCATAGAAAAGGTCGAAATGTTCCAATTGCATGATTAATCTGTTTGAGCTCTCATTTCTTGGTGTTGTTATGCACATGTTACAATACATTTCTGAGTAATTACACATCATTTACTGCTCCTGTGGCTTAGTGGTTAGAGCGTCCGCATTGGATGCGAGAGGTCGCGAGTTCGATGCGAAAGACTTATAAAATATTACTAACAGCTGCCTCGCTTGGCGCTCAGCATTTAAAGGTTAATGTTAGGACAGGTAGGCCTGGTGTCAGGATAAAATGACTGGTTGGAACATCATAGTGCATCTCTACGCATGATGATCTAGTGTTAGACATCGCTGTATACTGCCATACTGCAGACATTGTAGCGATATGACTGAAAAATTGTTGAAGCAACATTAAAAAACAAATCACACATACACAAACACACACACACATGCACACACACACAATTTAAGTGTACTATTTCAGTCAATTCTCGAGTTTGGTAGTTCACCACTTTATGACTTGATATATTTAACTTAATCATATTTAGTTTCGACAAGCCGACAGTTCATTTCAAATTCGTTGACGCAGATCATTTCCCATCGTGCAGTAGTAGTTACTTGTACCCTAATATCAATATACCAATTAACACCTTAATTAAGTGACTATGTTTTCAATTGCAGTTACCTATTAACTTGCTTATTTTTGTCTTAGTTTTGGTTCAAATTAAGTTTAGGAAGTTTTAATCTAAAACCATGATTCATAAGAAATTTGCTTAAACTTGCACACAAACACAAAAGCCACAAGCACAAAACCACAAACCATCGGAAAGTAATATTGAATTGTTTAAGAAACAAACTTTGAGAGGTCAGCTAATTAAATTATAAAAGCATTTGCAGCTATTGGTTCCAATATCAGTTAACTAATTACTGACCTCTGAGAACAATAAGTTAAATTATCAATATGAATCACCTGGTGCGACATTGTCGAATACATTTTAATGCTTTTTCTACCTGGGGAGCGCCATAAATTTTATTTTTTTTTATAGAATAACTATTAACTCTGTGCCTTTTTGCCTAATATTGGATATAAGATCCGTTTTGTCCATGGATGCTAGTAGTATGAAGAGATTCCATATAATTATGTTTATGATGAAACTTTTTATTTTTATTTTGTAAAATATTTATTCCTATAACATTTTACTCAAGTGTGTTTATACGTAACATTTGCATTTTACATAATGACTCTCTCTCTCTCTCTCTCTCTCTCTCTCTCTCTCTCTATATATATATATATATATATATATATATATATATATATATATATATATATATATATATATATATATATATATATATATTCATTTTTATTTAGGTTTCAACTTCATTCAATGTTTCTGTGATACCCGCACAATTTCAATTTAGTTTTAATTGTTTTGTCTTTCTATAAAGATTCTCAATTATCTTTATTTGAACATTTCATTCGACAGCTACATTTAAAAAAAATATATATTTTACACGACTGTTACACTCTCGAAAATATACTACGCACGACTCACTACAACACTCTCAAAAATATTTTTCACACGACTAACTGCAACATTTTCAAAAATATACTTTACACCATTGCTATACTATAAAATGATGGGACGCAATTTCAAGTGTCTGTTAGCTATTATATCTGGATGACTGAATTACATGGGCAACAAATATGTGATTATTTTGAGCTCTAAAACCATTTTTATTTATTTCGAAATTGCATTGGAAGCACTCTCCGTCGCAGAATCAACATTTTCTCTAGTCCAGAGCCATCGCATTACATCATCATTTAATCGCCAGGTCGTCCCAAAGTATCCATATTAATGAATAAAGGAGAGCTTACTAATAAAACCGCGCAACATTTTGATTTTTCATGTCATCTTAGTCACTTTGCGATAGAAATACGGACATCATTGATGCCCTAGACAACACCATATTGAATAAAAAAAATCGATTTGTTTCCACACATCTGATTTTAATTTATATTCAGTAGTGTGCCACATATTATAAATATCACATACACCTCATAACTAAAACTAAGTCTTCCACCATTAGTTAATGAAAATTAGAGGATAATGTACATTGCAGTGCAATATCCAGCAAACGGAAGAAGTTTTATTTTACAGTCAAGCACAATACACAGCCAGTTGGAGAAGTCTATAGGTATTTTGCGCCGTATTTTTCACCATGCTCTCCATACCATCACCCTACCACTGCATCGCTCCTAATAAATTGTTCGTTAGTATTGACACACGTTCAGCTTGATAATGTATTATTTTATGATCAATCTACATATCTACCTCCTAGCTCTCATAAGGGGCTAAACCGGCTCTGCTTCCGGTGCAGTATTCAGCTAACATGAAAAGTTTCATGTGTATTTCAGTGTAACAATTAGGCTTACTGTAGATATTATATGTACATTCCAATGCGATATTTGGTTAACTGGAGATGTTTTGTGTACATTTCAGTATAATCTAAGGCTAATTGGAGAAATGTCATGTACATCCAAGTACAGCATGTGGATTACTGGAAACATTTCAGGTACATTCCAGAACAATATGAGGATAACTGGAAACGTTTCATGTACATTCTAGTAAAATATACAGCTCAATGCAAATGTTCATGTATACTCAAGTACATCATATAATGTAATGCAGTATCTTTGTGTATATTCCGGTACATTATACAGTTAATCGGAGAAGTTTCGTACACATTCCAATTTTATGCGGCTAAACGGATAAAACTATGCAGCCAAGGGTGGTAGTTGCATATACATTCCAGCACATGTACAGCTTAATGGAGAGATCTCATAGCTACGCAGCCAACGGTGGTAGTTGCATATACATTCCAGTACATGTACAGCTTAGTGGAGAGATCTCATTGCTACGCAGCCAACGGTGGTAGTTGCATATACATTCCAGTACATGTACAGCTTAGTGGAGAGATCTCATAGCTACGCAGCCAACGGGAAAAGTTGCATAAAGTACAGTATGCAATTAACTGTAAAAATCTCATGACTTGATAATTTCAAAGGTTGCATTATTGTTAATAATAATTTTGCAAAATTACCAACGTATGACACAATGTTTTCAATGATAATAATTCTAAAATGTATTGGGTTTCCATATCTCTGCTGGAAACAGATAAAACAAATTTACCTTTTAACTACCACGTTGTAGTTATACTCTTAATTCTCAACAGCTTTATACAGATGTTTCAGTTTAGCTATTAGTGTTTTTTAATTACAATATATACCTGGTTGGTTAAACCTGATATGCATAAGTAGCCATATTATTTAATGCTAAATAGTCTTTACTAAATCGAACTGTTGACATGTGTCTAGCTGATCTCATTGCATTTAAAATGTATGACCTCAAAGCCTTTGATACAAAAATGTGGGTAACTTTTGACGTCCAGTATTATACTTGAGCAATATTTCGTTGTCTGTCCTGGTATTACACAGTTTAATCAAAACCCATGCAAATCGGAAAATGGAGCTGTTTCCTTTATATTTTTTTTCAAAGCCGAGCCAATCAGTGTTAAACTGCAGAAAACAGTTTCAATGTCGTGAAGAATAGTGTCCAAATCTTAATAACACTGAAGCAGGAAATGCATATTCCTCCTGCTTTGAAAAATGTGTTATAGATGACATATTCCTGAAATATGAAACACATATTCCTTCTGCTTTGGAAAATGTGTTGATGACATCACATTTCTAATAGCAATAGATATGTTCTCAAATTTGTTAGTATTCATATATACGTTGATAAAATTAAACAGCAGATGGAACTAAATATGCAAATTTGTTCGATACGTCCATTTCTTATCCACATTGATAAGGGAGTAATTGGGTCTAGTGTGTGGTTCTTTGCTTGAAATTAATTTTAAATATTTGTTCATCTTCGAAGTTAAATTGCATGTGTTGTTTTCGGGTCAAAATGAGCTGTTATATAGGCACTTTGGTCGATATACATTTTAGGTGATATAAATTTGCTTGTCAATTGCAAAAGTGATTTCAAGTAGCAAACCACCGATCCACACATAATGTTTTAATGTTAGATCTGACCACGTTGTACCGGCAGTGTGGACAAGAGCGATTAGTTTTAGAGGCGAAAAAAAAAATTCGCAAAGAAACTGCAGCAACGTCAACGTTCACTCCAGAGATAAAACATTTGATTCAGAAATTTCGATACATTTATCAGCAAGATATTTCTATCATATACCTTTTATAAATGTAACAACTTTGCTAAAACTGAAGCAAGCTCAGGAAGACATGTTGAAAAATACATTTACCCTGCTTAACGTACTGTTAGAGAATATTTCTTTGGGGCAATTAAATTCCCTAGTTAAGTACACCTTCGTTTAGATAATGTGTTTACCTTCAGGGACTGAAATATAATTATTGCCAGTGCCAGGCATTTATATTTGCGTAAATTGCAGAAATAATCATAACTGAGAATTTGAAAGGCAATATAAAACTTTAAGCGGAATCTGTTCATGACAGCAAATTTTCCAGATGTGTCCCAAAACGATATCAATCAACAACAGATATAAATTTAGTATATTAAAGCGTTTGATTTTTTTAAAGGATTTTTGTTATTTATTCACGGTATTGGATAATAGTCACTCAAATATGCCACAAGACAGCTTCTCAAATCATTGAATTTTAGAATCGCATCGCCTAACGCTCTCGACTGGGATTTGAGTGAACCATTAAAACAGGGGTTGTGTCTCATACAGTAGTTTATCATGCAATGTAGGAACGGAACGGCAGTGCCTTATACAACATTTCATCGTCACGACATCTTTAATTGTTTTCAAATAGATTAAACATAATTAAAAAATATAAGCGGAATACAATATATTAAACTTTATTTGACTCAATTATCTATCGTCCAACCAAAGTGGTTTTACAAGGTATGATGAAAAATAAAATGTTGCTTTAAAACATGATTTTAGTTAAATTGTTACATCGTTAATAGAACGAGTTACTACTAACATGTACAGTCTTTGCAGAGTTGGTATTTATAAATGTTTCATCACGCAACGCGTCCTCTTAGTATGCACTAAAAGCTGTGTTCAAGAAACAAATTTTTTATTTCTTCATTCAAACTACGACTTGCTTTTTCTTTCCTGAATAATGAATCCATTATTGACAGGATCGTAGGAAGAGATGACTAATATTGACTGTAATATGTATTCACTG